TATAACTAGCTCTCGGGACCTCTTAGAGCTTTAACAAATGCACCGATCAACGTAATGTGTGAATGCGAAACCACTAAAAAATCGTGCTCCTCTATGCATGGCGGTGTCATTACCGCCAGCTTGTGGTATATTAGGAAATATAATTACACCCTGAAAGCAATAGGAAAACAGACGGGCACACACCGGAAACTTGGTCGCGCCTAGACTGATAAAATCCTATAGAAATGTACGTGCAGAATTTTCCCACGAACCAGGGATACACGGTATTATAATCCAAAGATGTCCTTACAGTGAGTTGGGAAGCTCTCCAAGGACCGGTCACAGCAACCGTCCGGAGGAGAAAACTAGGTAATGAATAATACCACGTGGGGAATGTCTGCAGACCACATGCCGGTTGAACCACCTCAGAATTCATGTTGTCGTCGTTGTAAGTCCTTTGAGTTGTTTCCCTCCCAAAATCTTCGTCAGTCCCTGGGGACTACCAGCTTTTTTGTAGTTGCAGGAAACTCTAAGCCTAATAGCAGGTACGTCAAATCAAGTCTTCAGCGCACAGCTTTCCGCAGCTCACATAGATAGCCAGAGTTAAAACTGGCTCTGTTCCGCAGGTGCTTTAGGGCGAAAACATACCTTTTAAATGTTGTTTCTCAAACTGGTGAGGTTGTGATAAAAAATTGCGAACTTGACGGTCCTTCTGTCGCCCACGCTTGTTCGATCATCAAAATTATTCCTGCCGACCACTGTTCGGGGGCACCTGTGAGGTCTGCAGTTCAATGAGATAACCCGCTCACGACAAAAAATGTTCTATATTTTCCTAAAAGCAAGATATTATACAGCTGCTCTCCTGAAATAACACTGAAGAGATTTTCGGCTAACAGGATAATGTGCCTTGAAAATCAACACTTATGGACTGGGAGCAAACTCACACCATGTTCAACTAGAGCAATAGTGTGCCTAGTCACAAAAGGAAGAAATTTGCGCACGAAAACTACCTCTGCGCACAACAATTTATGTGGATCTGACTTCAAGCTAGAATGATAAACGCCTAGATTTAAGGCACTCCAGTGCAGACGAACACGATCACTCTGTGGTATTGCCTCTTAGGCTCACCATTGAATTGCCTCACCCCAGTCGCGAGGCCAGCAGTCTGGTAACCCGCGTAAACGTGTCTTTTCTCAGGCTCATTGACTATTATCAGGTCCCCTGAATGTACATGACAAATCGGTCATCATGACAGTCAGCTCGTGTTTTCGGAGAGATGTTTGCTGTGATCCTTCAACGCGTCTCCACAGCAACGTTCTATATCCAGGTGGTTACACTTGAAGACTTAATTTACTGTACGTTGATTGTCCAAACAATATTAAAGACCAGAGATAAGTAAGGTACAAGTTTTCATAACCTTGGTTAACTTCATCAAATGTCACACGATGTGACAGTTCTAACTTTATGAAAGCATCGTTTTGTAAAAGTATTGTCAAAAGCGGGATAAACTTCCATGGCTCCAAATTAGGAAGGTGACGAAAAACATACATATCTTTAAAGCGGCTCTTTACCGACTTCATTTGAGATGGATACATGTCCACGCCAATACCCACTGGTTTCCGAGATTCAAATCAGGCATTGCGTTCAAATACTTTCCATGCCTATCTTTGGTTTAACTCTTTGCGATATTGAAATTTGCTTCAGAAGTAGAGGGTTTCGCACGATTCACGGAGTTCATGGAACGCACGTTCAATGGACACCAATTCATTGCACGAATATACCGCACATTGTATAGGCCCGTCATTTACGTTGAGAGCTAATGTAAGTCCTGCCTCATGCTTTGGTTTTCGCGAACTTCTAGGAAAATCCATATAGTATCCGGAAAAAATACTCTTCTCCACTACGCATGTTGGTAGTGGATAACCCTAGCAAATACCGATTCACAGTAGGTAAATCAAGTGAGTAAAAATAGGCGGGATGATACAACTCACAGTTCGTTGGTACAGTTAGTTAGTACCACCACAATAAATCCAAATCGATCTCCTTCCTTGACATAGTCCTAGATGCCTTCTATCCCGTCGTAGTCTGAAAGGTAGATCACCACTCGTTAATTCACTACAGCGCAACTCGACACAGCAAGAAAGGAACACGCCTTTCACGGGGTACAGAATTTGTATTGTGTCATATTTCTTTTGCTTTCATTTAAACAAAAATTATTCGGTATGAAGAGGAGAGGAATAAGCTGAGATTTTAGTGAGAGATAGAAAGTGCTACAATTTGAGTAGTGATAAGTTACAAAGAAAGTAATAATGTACAATGGTCAGAAGGATCACCATATGTTAGGTTCCCGACCCTCTTTAATGCATCTGCCAATAGACTGGGAAAATGTAGGTCACGTAAAATTCTAGCTCTCGTAATGCAAGCCCAGTGTTTTGAAATTGTCACAACATGGGACAAAGAAGCTTACACGGTGCGTGGTCATGCGCAGCTTACAAACCTCTAAAAAGGAGACTATTTGCTTGTGCGCACCCATATCAACAAAAGCGGACTGGACACACGACGCGAGCAAAATGGAACTGTACCCTCAGATGAATGTGGGAGTAGTACCGCGAAAAAAGATGAAGCGTCGTCGATCAAAATACTGGAAACATTAAGAATTACACTTAAGAACGAAAATAAAATATTTTTCGGATTATGTTTGTGATCGCCTCTATGTGTGGGTTTAAACGCATTTAGAGACAGCCGATGTGATGGGGTCGAAATCCGTGAATCTTACATACCGCGAGGCAGATCAAGTTGATAAAAAGTCCTCCAGCCGGCCAACCCGTTTCCTACAAAATTTCCCACAAAATGTTAGCTCTTTGAGCCTGTAGGAAGAACTAGCCTACCTGGTTCCGTGAGTAATTCTTGGGAATCTTATCTGTTTGTTTTAGTGCATTCCCCCAAGGTCACTCACTGGACCACAGTTTCACGTGTGAAGTATGGCCCGTGGTAAGCCGGCTGGCTTGAAGACTGCGCGTAAGCTATCGACCCACAGAAAAACACAACGGTGGGCGGATAAACAGTACAAAAAGTCGCATCTGGGTACTCGGTGGAAGGCTAATCCTTTTGGTGGTGCGTCGCATGCGAAAGGGATTGTCCTGGAAAAGGTAGGTCCAGTTGTCTCGCCGCCATTTCTCAGGTTGGTGTGGAAGCTAAGCAGCCGAACTCTGCCGTCCGTAAGTGCGTGCGAGTACAGCTTCTGAAGAATGGCAAGAAAATTACGGCATTCGTCCCACGAGATGGTTGCTTGAATTTTATCGAGGAGAACGATGAAGTGCTAGTTGCCGGTTTCGGAAGAAAGGGGCACGCCGTCGGTGATATCCCCGGAGTGCGCTTCAAGATAATTAAGGTGGCGAACGTCTCATTGCGCGCCTTGTATACACATAAAAAAGAACGCCCGAGGTCATGAGTTCCATGCATTTCCAAAATACAAATTACTGTTTGGTTCTAGTATTTTTGTGGACATATGTTGGTTTGGTTCTTAAACTACGTGCTCGTGATGTGGAAAACCTTCGTCATTCGTCAACAGGACTAACACGTGGTTTCTGGCCCCCGCAATCTTGAAGTGCAGTTCATCCTTAATCACCATGGTAGCCAATATTCAGTGCATTAGTGAATGCAGACAACATTGAGTGCAGATTTGTCACAGCGCCTCTCGGTTTGTGACTTTTGGTCCTGTCCACCTGTACATTTTAGCAACCACTACTCATCCCCGTATCCATTGGCGCTGGAGACGATCCTGCCACTAGTGTGAAACGCCTGGAAGACGTCCTATATCAGCGGGTAAAGTCCACGGGGATTCGTCCCGAAGGAATTATGCACTATGTACTGCTTGAAACGGAGTTCTGCTTCTGAGGAAGAGGCTTCCATACTTCAGTGGACGGCAGTAGCAGGTAACGCCTGCATGACATTCCTCAAGCAGTCTCCAAATAGACGTTCCAGTGGCGGTTTCTGGACAACAAGCTTTTCATGTCGGTGGCTTAGCACTGATTGTTTTCCAAATGGGCCCGGCTGTTACTGCGTGCAAGCTGTGTTTAGGCACGTCGTTTGCAAAATTGTTTTGTGGGATGATTGGCTTGCAAAGGCTTTTTTCACCCTGTAGGGAGGTGGCCGTCTAGGTGTAACATATTTCGGTGACCCCGTTGCAGTGTGACCGTCTGCTTTCATCAGGATGCGTGGTCGTGGTTATACTCCATGTTGTTGCTAGAGGGCTGATGGCAAACATGCGTTGGGCATCGGGTGCTGATTTGATTAGCCAACTTGTTATTGTAGTGGTGTGAGGTTTATGCAGCTTAGAACATGTTCAACAGAACATGTTCTGGTGGTGGATCGTTGCAGCAGCAAATCTCCCGACAAAAGTAGAATGTGTTAGTTGAGCTTTAGGGGTGCACCGATGTAGCGGGTTACCTAAGGTTCCATCCAGACTGCGAAGGTCAGCAAGCAGCAGGAGGACAACAGCGTATCCACGTTTTTCGAAAGGTATTACATCATCGACGGTACGACCAGTGTTCAACACCTATGCTTCTCTGACGGAGCGGCTCGTAGGTCGAGTACTATCCTGTGCGACAGAATTGTGGACACAGTAAAGTGTTCCTTCAGGTGACCATATTTATGGGATAAGCAGGGTCGCCTTCCCCTTTGGAAGGACGGGTTAGAACCGTCTCAAAGAACTGCACATTTCAGATGGCAGTGACCGCCGAAGCATTATATTCAATGCGATAGAAATAACAGTAGCAGTGTGGTGATACTCAAAAGGCATTCAGAAGGTTAAGTCTTCCAGTCACTACCTACGGGAAGGGTATTTCAAGAAATCCCCACAAACCGCTGCCTCGCAGTTCAGACTTTTGAACCAGAGGGTAGGGGCAGCGTCCGCAAACAAAAACCCTACTGCATTACGGATCAAGCTTTTGAGTCAAAGGCTTAAGGTGCAGTACCTCTAAACCCCTTTACCTGGACGACCCGGAGGTTCCGTTGGCTTTTGCTTGCTTTTGCTCCACCCATCAACCTTCGCTGACATCTCATCCATCAAATGCTGCATTGCGGTCAACCCATCTTTCGGCCCCCTAACCGTGTCCTTGTGTAAGCTGTCGCTCAACAGAATTAATCGAAGTAATCATATATTAAACTCCAGGGATGTGCTCCATAGTACTCAGCGTCCGTACTCCTTCAAAATGGACATTTTTTTCTGGAGCCATGTCTTCCCTTTGTCGTTGTATTCTGAATTCCCGAAACACACCTGTAAGACTATTTCGGTCGTGTACCTCAGATTTGGGATGATCTCAGATGTCCAATACTTCGCTCTTCGGATATCTAGTGATGCTGACGTAATGGCTCGTGGTACCGAAATTACGCGCATCGCAGCTGAGCAAAGCTGTTCATCAAATCTCAGTAGCCCATCAGTATCAGGCCGATCTGCCTGGAAAACTGCTGGAAATGGAGTCATACTGAGGACGAAGTTTGCTTGGAGAGTGGATGGAAGCAAGTTAAAGAAACTAAGTTTTTAGGACTGTTATTCGAAGCCATTTGACTCAACTGAATGAGTATTGGATTTCGTTGAGGTCAACAGGTCCTGTTGCTGCCAGGAAATCCATACCATCAACTAGGGGTTATGATGGCGCATACAGACCCCTCGAACGTCGAATAAATGAGAGCTTCAGGATTGATAACGCTGATGTTTTGCGGGATGGACAAGTGGTTTGGAGGGCGAATTACTGAACGGACCCGACCTCTGCCTCTCGACTTCCCTTGTCTAGCCTTGGGTAACCTGGCAATAACCCAGCTCTCGGACCTCCATGTGGCACGGCGGCTAGGCACCGAAAGGTGCTACAGCTGAACAATCTTTTATTTTTTTGTTTTGCGAAGAATCAGGAGAAGGACAAGTTTCCGCCGCAGACAACAGCCACACCCTGTTTTAGCAGATTCCGTGAAAGAAAACAGGTATGGAAGGAAAGGACGTAGTTGCCATTTAAGGGCACTGGACAGGTTACTAAGGGAAGCCGTTCTGCTGGCCTCTTTCGACGACCTCTAGAAGAACGATTCTGAATGGAACATGTCGCCACGAACAACAAATCCAGCACGGAATTTCATTCTTTTAACGCAGCAAGGCATCCGTGTATGATCTGCATCCTGCACTCGTGAATGAAATTGGCGAAGCTTTGGTAAACAATCTGACTACCCTACTACGGAAAATTTGGAACGAACGCAATACCAGCGGAATGGAGCACCTTGACAGTGACCCCGTTTTCAAAAAGGGCCGTGATGTCAGTTCGGCTCAGCCTCAGAAAGACTGTGTATCTACACTCAAGCGTCATCGTGCTGCTGGTCCTGGTAACGTTCCACCTGCTCTGTTCAAGGATGGCGGTGAATTTCTCGGCCATTGTATCTAGCCTATCTGAGGGCAAGGGACACGCCCAAGTAACGAGTGAGTCGGTAATGGTATCCATCATCAAAAGGTATACTCGCAGTGGATCTATTGACCACAGAGATGCCAGTTTGACTCCCCTTGTAACAAGTCCTCTGGCGTCACTGATTTTTCGTCTTCTTACGGTGGCACGCGTAAACTTGACCCCTCAATAACAAGCGGGATTTTGACCTGGTGGAGAGTGCGTCGATCACATCTCCACACTCCCTAAGTGCTAGAGCAACACCATGTGCACAGACGACCCACAACTGTGATGTTTCTTTGACTTCAAGGGTGCTTCAATCGGTCAGCGCTGTTAAACAGTAAATGGGGTAAATAGGGTAGGTCCCAGAATTTCGAACATAATCTGATCCTCATTCACATCTGGCTCTCTAAAAGTTTTCCTACAAAAAGTGGTGTCCGACAAGGCTGCCGACTCCATTTTTCACTTCGTCAATCATATACTAATGAGGCGAACGTTGGAAGTTCTTCGAAACCCCGGTATTTACATCGTTGATAGTGAGAAACTTGTCGGTCTGGAGTATCCAGACGAAATCGTCCTCTTTGAGGACGAAGGCAAAGCATAAGCCCAGTTGAAAAAACTGACTACCATCACCATCTTTCCGCATGCTCCTTGTATCTTCAAAATTCAAAAACATGTTTAACGTACATTTTCTCAACATACTCCTTATACTTCAAAGAGAGTCACTAGAGAATATGGAGAATTTCACGTGTCAGTAGTTGTATTATCTCTAACGCTAGTCTCTGATGAAATAAGTGTCCGAATGACGTTTGCTAATTTGCTTCTCGTGGCGTCAAAAGCGCAGTGGTTCTGACAGAGTTCGCGTGTACAAGTTTACAGTAGGGACCGTATTGTTTTATGGTTACGAGACAGCCCCTGCGGACGGATGGTGTGAGGCGTCTTTGGCTTTCTGACCAGCGGTGTCTCAGAAGTGTTATTGATGTCCGATGGTGTCAACGAACTCGCAGCGGAGTAATTAGAAAATGGGTATTTGGACGTGCAGTAGGTGCTTCAGTCGCGTAAAACATCCAGCACCGTCAAGTGCAGTGGTTCGGCCATGTGCTACGCATGGCGAAGCATAGTTTGTCAAGACAAGCGTTGTTTTCAGCGGTTCCTCCAGAATGATGCAAGCCACGAGGTAAACAACGTATGATTTAGGTGTGAAAGAGATTACGAAGAATTAAGATGGTGCGGTGTGGATTCACACACCCTTGCGCTGATCGATGACAGTAGCGTGCGTGCTGTCAGTTTCTTCCCAGATTGTCTGATTGGGCGCTTGGAGGTGTGGGCATCTGACTGCCTGGCATAGAGCAGCAGGGGATTCGTAGTACCTTGAACCAACGTACTTTCGACACAGTTTATATATGATAAACTGCAGAGGGAGTATTCACATCAGAGTGGGATAGGGTAGAAGTGGTAATACGTAACAGCGCAAGACACGGATATGGACAGCTACACAAAATGGGCAAACTGCATGTTGCCTAATCGAGTCCTGTAAACCTCTGATGCCAACGTAAGTTCGATGGACTATGATCGTTGGCAAACATATAGGTAGCAAATTGCTGCTGTTAATTCCCCCATTATCATTAGCTGCAAAAACCGCATACTTAACGTACAGCTGTTATAGCTGCTACAGCTTTGTTCACCAATGATTTGGTGAGTTGGAGTATATAGTTACGCCTCAAATGCGGTGCGTCATATGATTGATGCATAAACAGGGTTGCCTGTGAACCTTTTATTGGTGAGATTGGAACGAGAGTTTGCATTGAGGGTAATAGCTTGGATGTACGAGATCCCATTGAGGGCGCGATCGTGCCATGTCTGACAATGTTTCTAACCATTGGTGTGCTCCATATGGGGATCCCTACACATGAAGATCCACGCAGCTGTGGTTGCTGGTAATGGGCTTCATACTTTGCTGTCAAGTCATGTTTGACCTCCCCTGGCTCGTTTCCATGCTTCACTTCGCTGTTCGGAAAGAGCCCTA